GCGCGCGCATCACTCTCTCTCCTCATTCTTACTTCAAGCTTCTTTCAGCTTAAAGTAAAAGATATTTTCTTTTAGCAATCTCTTTTCTTGTAATTACTAACCTTTGTGTGTAACTTAAGATTGTTTAGATAGGTTTCTTTTACCTTATCTTTCCGCATGGATCATGGGGGGTAAGGCAAATGTCACTTTATCGATACAACGTATTTTGCGCAAACAATCTTGTAAAATCTGTATTGATCTTCTCTATCAATATATATTTTAAATTTGAAAACTTTGTGTTTGTATTCATCCCCCCCTTCTACAAACTGTTTAGTATTCTTGTAGACCTTTTTGGGACCAACAAACAGCCTGAAAAGAAGAAGCATGGAGTAAGATGCTTCAGATGCGGAAGGATGGACCACTACTCTAAAGAGTGCAAAGGTCCTATGGTCAAATACGAGTTGTACTACAAAAATAAATATAAGTACAATTGACCTCAGAGGACTCTTATGGCTGAACAAGAAAACTGGGTCTCTGACTTTACCTTAGATGAAGAGGACCAATCCCACTTTTGTGGCATGATTGTTGATCGCGATGCAGAAGAGTCTGGATTTGGTTCCGACTCCCAAGTATACTCTACTTCTGGCTATTCCCATTCTGAACTATAGCAAAACATCTCTATTTTAACCCAAGATTTTGCAAAACTACAACATAAGCTCTCTGATGAAAAAGCAAAAAGAAAATCTTTAGAAAAAGAAAAAAAAATTATTTGAAAGAGAAACAGAGCTTCTCACTGCAGAAAAAGAGGAGCTCTATGTGGAAAAAGATAAAATTTTGAAAACTAAACTCTCCACAGAGAATAATTTGAAAACAAAGTGCTCCGAGCTTAAGAAGGTTATACAAAAGAAAGACAAGGAAATAATAGAGAAAGAGCGCGACAAACTAAACTCCTTAGCTCTTAAAACTACTTTCAGAAGGAAATGGAATTCTTACATCCGAGCTTACAAAGAAAAGAGCTATTGATTAAGAAATATAAAGATGCTTAGCAGGTGTACGAAAAGATAAATTCTCAACAGGATAAAACAGGAATAGGTTATACTAACCTAGACCTCACATGTAAGAAGAAACATACTCTTGAATCAATCTTTCGTTTAGGGGCAGAACAAAAACTAGATTTCCCTTCTCTGCCCAAAACTTCACCATGTTAAAAATGGTAAACTTGAAAATGGGGTCAGAGCAAGAAAGCTCAATTTTGAAAATATCTCTTACTCTTGTAAATGTGTGGGTGAAGTCAAACCAGTTAACCTTAAGAGCATATAGAAGAAGGAAGACATTTTTAGCTTTGGCACCCATAATCATAAGCTTTCAAAGAAAAATGGTGATGAAATCAAAACGGAACCAAAAGAGATCGAGAGTGCATCAAAAGACGATCTTTTTGAAACTCTAGATCCAAAGTTGATGGACGAGTTCACAGAGAAAGTGAGACAAGTGTTTGGTCATTTTACATGTATAAGCAAAATTTTTCAAACAGTAAAAAACAACTTATCAGCTTATTGTGTTTTGATACCGTGATAAGCTAATCCAAACACCTTTTATAGAGCTCTGATTTGATACCACATAAATTAATAAACACTTTAACAAATAACATAAGTTATTTAAAATAAGCAATTCCAAACACTCCCATATAATCTAATGTTGATGGTATTCGAGACATTAATACCACCGAGAGTCGTTCACAAAAACGATAATTATTTATAATTTAAGGTTTCACAACGAGAAAACAAAAGTTAACAGATTTATTTATACTAATTACCGTTTAGGTAATTTAGACATTATCTCGTCAAGGTGATTTTTTTGGTTCAATCACCGAAATATCCAAAAAAGACACCTCGTTTCTTCTTTCCTTCCTTTCCTTGCTCGTGGCCTCAATTGTTCGTGGGGGCGGGAAACTGGTTCTTCTCAGGGAAATTGAGCTCTCTCCTCCTTTCAAAAACCCCACTGCTACTCAAAATTTGAAACCCTAGTTACAATGCCTTACTAACCTCTGAAAATCCCCAATTTTCCCCAAATCGAATGGCATTTTCTTCTCAATTGTTAACCCCTAACGCTAATAACAAGCAGAGAGAAGACGACGAAGAAGAAGCACCGCCGGAGGAGCAGAAAGTACTAATCCAATCGGAAGAAGATCATCGCCATCATCATCAGGCGAGGTACGTGCCCCTCGATCTCGTGTACTCAGCTACCTCTCCCTGTAGTGGTTACTCGAATGTCATGTCTAAGAAGGTGAAAGCTAGGAAATATCCCGTGCTGGAGGACCACAATGATGCCGTTTCGGTGGATCCAAAGCCACCGCCATCGAAACCGCCTGTCATTCATGTCTACTCTCGTTGTCGCCGTCGCAAGAGGAGTGGTAGTTTCCATGGCCCTTCAGGTTATGATATTTTTCTTTCGAATTTGAAGACGGCCTCTGTTGTTGAATTGAAAGAAGAGGATATTGAATTTGAAGGCGAAGATGGGATGATGGGGTCCATTGGGGTTTTGGGTAGTAACAAGAAGAGGAAGACGAGTCAGGAGCTTATTAATTTAGGGCTCGATTCAGTTCATCTTGATGCTCCAAGATTAAGAGGATCATCTCGAAAACCTAATAGAGCTAATGATACCAGCGTTGGCAGTAGGCAAAGAAGAAGCAAAAACGATAACGGCGAAAACAATTGGCAGAAAAACGGTCATGAGAACGAAGTAACTGAGATTGACAATACAAATAAATCCACCACCGCTGCAAGTCGCACTAAGAGATGGGTGCGGTATGTTTTATTTTAATAAAACTTCCAATTGTTTGTTCTATTTGTTGCAACAGAAGCAGGGTATATATGAGCTTGTGATATTGGAAAAACAGGTTGAAATTTGATGGTGTAGATCCCGAGAAATTTGTTGGGTTACAATGCAAGGCAAGTTGTGATTTTTATACCTGTTTCATTTTGTAAATTTATTGTTAACTCAACTTACATACTTGGTTGTTAAATTTTCAAAGGTTTACTGGCCGTTGGATGCTGATTGGTATTGTGGCTGTGTTGCAAAATATGACTTAGAGAGCCACCGTCATCATGTAATGTTTCTTTGTACCTATTTTGTATATGCCCAAGTCTTTGGAGCAGTTCTGTACAGTCCGGTGGTTCTCTTAACTGATGCGGGGATAAAAATAGGTTGAATATGAAGATGGTGATGAAGAGCGGGTGATATTATCAAAAGAAAGAATTAAATTCCATGTGTCTCCAGAGGAGATCAAATGTCTACGGTTGACTTGTGATCTTCATTGTTCAGATACAGATGATCTTGATGTCAACGAGATGATTGTACTGGCTGCTAATCTGGATGACTGCCATGATATCGAGCCTGGGGACATCATATGGGCCAAACTTACTGGTATGGAGGACCTTGAGTGCTTGAATACACTATTGAAGTTAAACGTGATATTATGCCATTTAGGAGCTGGTGGCGCCCTTTGGGCTTCATCAATGTTCTTCATTCTTAGGATCTTATGCCTTTATCATGTGGCAGTTACACATGCTTGGACATATGTTTTACATTATAGGTCACAATGTCACATTCTTTACATTTGAATCAACATTTGCATGCTTGTAGCTTGTTTGAGGCATCTTGCCTTGCCTCTTTGCTAACATCAGGTCTATTTTTGTTGAGTTGATGTATGCTTTATTTACTTTGATTGAACATGATGAGATTACAATACAGTTATATCAAGAGGAGGCATCGAAGGTACCAAGGTGATACTATTCTGGTAAATGCCTTCTTTTTTGTTCAAGGTCATGGGTTCATATCTCAACTTCCCTTCTTGCCAATCAGCAAAGAGAAGAGAAAGGACTTAAGCCTATATAAATTACATTAGTGCAAGTAAGAAGATAGATACACATGCTAGCATAATCTTTCTTTTTTTCTATATCTATATAAAAAAAATCTATATTGGGTTCGTGAAATGAGTTGCATTTAAATGAGATGGATATTGTAGTGAACATTTCTGCTAATTCTGTGCTGGTTTGATCATTCTTCGTGGCCTATTGTACTCACATATATCAGATAGCTTTGTAGTTGTTGCCAAATTTAGTACCCCAGCATCCGCTGGGTGTTACTTTAATTGACGCTGTCCAGTAGCATTGAAATAGTCATTGATGCTTTGAGGACTAAATGTACGACATGAAGCTATTCCAATTTCATTCATGGGGCTAAATGTTCCATTCAAGGGGCAAGCAAATATTATCGATGATCTGTTCAACAGGGAAATTTGAGGAGACGGACATGCCAATTTCATCCAAACTGACGACTTCTTACAGGGCATCCATTCCAAGCCATTGTGTGAATCAAGTGAATAATTTCCAAAGGGTTATTGATTATAGGTTTTGATAGGTGCATCATCAATAGTTGTGGTGTGTGATGAGATTGGGGATTTTTATTGTCGTCGTTGGGGCAGGAGGTGTAGGAAGGCAGAATGGGAGGGTGCTTTATTGGCTTAAACATCTATGCTTCAGTGTCTATAGGATGGTTTTTTCGTGGCGTTAGTTGGGCTGTAATTGTCACATACACACCCCACAGCTTCCTCTCGTATGTATTATTGTTGGGAAATCTAGGTGCTACCTTTATTAATATTATTTGGTAGCTTGATTTTTTATTATTTCCACAGTGGTGAGACCTTGGATGGTCCAGTATCATTCTCGTGGAGCGTGTTATCTTGGAATAGTTGTGTGAGGGCATGAAAAGGCTGTTGCGACACTCAGTATGGGATGGAGCGCAGAAAGAGATTGATTACTGAGTTCATATGTGGTCACAGGGTAAATTAGTGATTAAATTAACTGTCTCAATTGATATCTTACAAATAACAGCTTGTCGTATTCTTTAGTCACTAGGCCACTTCGGACGTGAACCATGACTGGGGTAATACTAACCTGACAGTTTTTTTGAATGTTACCAAGTTTGGTATTATCTATTATGCTATATGAGAGAATAGTTAACATTCCAGGATATTTGCCCTCAGTATGGAAATATAGAAATATTTTGATTTATGTTATATACTTGTATTCTTAAGTGATATCGATGAATTCGATTTTGCACATTTCTATTGGTACATTGATGATAACCATACATCTGCATAGTACACATGACTTTGTTGCAAGAAGGTGAATACCTGTTCCTTGCTTCTGCTACCTACGTCCCAGGCATCATTTGTGCTTAGGTTGCACTTTTTCCTTACAATCATGCTTATTTATACTGTAGGTTCCCTAGTTTTTGTTTTTGCTTGGGCTTTATAATGCTTATCACTTCCCTTATTTGATTAGGCTTCTCGTGTTTGTTCTTGATACAGGTCATGCTGTGTGGCCAGCAATTGTGTTGGATGAGTCATTTGTCAGCATTCGTCGAGGTCTAAGCAAGGTTTCTGGAGAAAAATCAGTGCTTGTCCAGTTTTTTGGCACCCATGATTTTGCTAGGTGTGAAATTTATATATTTTAAAGAAATTTAACTATTCTGGAACCGTTTGTTTCAAGTGTAACACATCATTGCACTCTTGTGATATCCAGGGTTAAGACGAAGCAAGTGATCTCATTTCTTAAAGGGCTTCTATCTTCCTACCACCTGAAATGCAAGAAACTTGATTTCATTCGAAGCTTGGAAGAAGCAAAAATGTGATATCAAAATTCTGTACTTTTTTATTGTTTGAATGAAATTTTGGTTATATCATTTATCCACTTTGTTAATGCTAAGTGTTCTTATGTTGCTTTTCATCTTGGTTTGTGTTCCTTTGATGTATGATAACCTCGATGAATAGGAACCATTACATCACGGTAATAACTTTGCATTTCTTTGGGTTAGCATGTAGCGAAATCTCCAACCAGTAATAACACTACTGTATGGCTACTTGTTCGTTTAGAAAGAAAGCCTTGCTAGTTGCTATATTGAGATATTAGAACTTTTGATGAATGGGAACAATTGTCTAAGAAGGAATAACTTGGGGATTTCTTGGGGTAGGTGTGCAGTAACCTCTATGCTGTTAATCACACTGCTATACTGGTGCAATAGCGGCACTATCGCGGTTAGCGGCATGGGACAAATAGCGATCCCGCGATTGGCAGAGTTATTGGCCGCTAAATGATCGCATTTTGAATGCAAAAAAGCAGCCACATAATCGCTATTTGTAGATAGGCAGTTTTGGTGTTAAAAACGTAATTTTGTGGGCTTTTATTTAGGACTTGCACTCGGTTTTATTTTGATCCAACAATATCAAGGCTTCATTCTTTTTATTTTTTTGAACTTGGACACTGTTATTCTTATTTTTTTGAACTTGGACACTGTTTTTCTTATTTTTTTGACTTGGACTCCATTACTTTGACCTCTTGATTTGAATAAAAGTGTTCACATTGTTCAATTATTCTTGTATATTTTTTATTGAATACATAAAATATGTCGAGTTATGTATGCGTATATATAATTGTAACTATTGTATGAACCACTATTTTTGGACCGCTATACCACCGCTTTACCATCATGATAACTGCTATTTCAAATCAAGGTCCTGACCGCGCTTTCATATTTTGACTGCTGTAACAGTACCAGTAAGTGCATAACTGTAGCGGCTATGTCCTCATTTGAGAGAGAAACATATCCGTTGATGGTTTGACCTCCTTTTAAAGCTTGGCCTTTTTTGCTTCATCATATTTTGAGCTCTACTGTTCTGTGATTGATGATATCTTGGGCTCTAGTGTTTATGTCATTATGTTCTGTTTGCATTTACATAATGGCATTCTGAAGTTTTTGCACTGAAATGCAGTTGATGCATTACCTGTTTGCAGTCTAACCATGCCTTTTATCCTTCTTCGGTTATTCATGCATACATAAAAGCCATCCATTCTCCCTTTATTCATTTTTTAAACCAGTTTCTACATACCATATACCCAAGGAAATACGCTTATCATACTTCTTTTTATTAGCGCATTCATCTACTAGAGCACCCAATAGTTCATAATTTTTATGCCAATTTGCTTATTTCATCTGTTCCTTTTTCTTTGAATGATGCGGCTTTTTGTACGCTAGTCTTTCTTCTCTCAACCCTGTGGGTTATGGTTACACATCTGATCTTATCCGTTCTCTTGTTTGATTACTGTTCGATTTATAGGAGCATACATTAGGTGTTTTCGTTGAAGTTATTGTATCTAAAGTATATGTCACCAGAACGATCCCTTAAACATTTGTGGGTATAATTAGTTAATTGATATGTTATATGTAATAATTTAACTACAATTCGTATTGCATGATAAATTTAGTGTCAGTATGGACGAACAGGTTAACTGAAGAAAACATTTTGTTGCCTCTTTAATTTCAGTGGGTGTATTTTTGTTCACCAACATTTTGTGTTTATATACATGTGTTATGGATCTATTGGCAGGTATCTTAGCAGACAAAAACTTCCGAAGAGTATGTTACAGCTGCGGAATGGTGTTGGCACTGATTCCGGAGGTGATAACGATGAAGATGAATGTAGCGCTGGCTCAAAGAAGAGGTGTTTGAGCACTGAAATAGTACATAGAAAACTCAAGGGCCCTAAAAATTGCCCTTTTGTAGTAGGGGATCTGGAAGTATTAAAGCTTGGTAATGATCTTCTTCTATGATGTTCAGAATGACTCATTCTCTTTCTATCTGTACTCGTGTATTTGTGAAAACTAAATCTCCTGTAGGTAAGGTGGTTAAGAATCTGGATTGTTTTGATGTTGAGAAATCTATCTGGCCTTTAGGTTATACTGCTACAAGGAAGTTTCCTTCACTAGCAGGTTGCTCTTTTCTTTTAATAGACTAACATGTATTTTCTTAAGAATAATTGTGCCTAGCAGTTTAGTGTATTTATTTTCCGCTGGTTATTTGACTTTTTTGGATTTAAAGCCTGTTGTTTTTTTGGCGTGCTTTTTTGCATTTAATAACTTTTATTTCCTGTGGTGGGGCTTCAGATCCAAGTGTATGTTCTGTATATAAGATGGAAGTGCTGCGAGATGCTGGCACGAAAACACGACCCGTGTTTAGAGTTACAACGGATGATGGAGATCAGGTCTTGTTTAAGCTTTACATATTTACATGCCAATTTAGAATTGGCACAAGTTGTTACAGTTCTATATTACTTATTATTGGAGTTTCTAGCTTTTCGTATCACAATTACTATTTGTTTTCCATTATCTAATATTTATAATTGCAATGATATCTGCTGTGTCTAATTTGACCCTGGTAATTATGTTTGATGTGCATTCCCTACACTGCAAAATATGCAGTTCTTGTCTATTCCCTTACAATACATTTCTTGGTATTTTATGGAAAGCCACATGTTGCATGCACTATAGAATTGGAATAGGCTTCAAGCCACTGGAGTGAAATCATTGTGACCCTTGGTTCTAGTTTGTTGAATGAGTCGATTGTGCAACTCTAGGGATGGGTAAGGTGGTTGTTGATATTGATTTATGCCTACTGTTATCAAGGAATCATGACTTGCGAGAATATCAGATGCATATCAAATCTTTTGTAGCTCTTGTGTCATCTGCATATCAATCAAACCTCATTGATAGGAAGCAGTACAAGGAACAGGGCTAGATTCTTTGTGACAGTATCTCGATGTTGGGTAAACCTATGGTATTGAACCACGAAGCAAATCATGATTTAGTCGATGGACTTTGACCCGGGTCTAAGGATCTGTGTACTAGTTGTTAGTTATGTTGTCACATGAACGTTGTTTTGTTGCATCATAACATCCACTCATCCTCTTCACTGTTTTGATGCCACACATCATCAATTGTCATATTCTTTTCTGTATCGGTAGCTTATCGATGGTTTTTAGTTGGATGGAGATCTGCCTGAAATGTTAGTTACTTTATAGGTTATGTCAGCTGGGTGAGCCTTATGGTTTGTGGCAGTATCGTTCTGTGGTTGTAGTTGCTGGTCACCATGTGATCGATATTGTCATCTGTGTCATGTATTTCTAGACTTCAAGGTATTTGGTTCCTTCACTGTGGTCTGTCCAGATTAGTGGTTGAGCCCAACTTAAGCAAGCATTGGTAGTTCATTAGTTCTTCCTTTTAGGAGTGCTGTCTTTTGGCAGGTTTTATACTTCTTTAGTTTGTCAGTGGTTTGGAATTTCACTCACCTTTGTTCTTGCCAATAACTGTGGTCCAATCTTAATTGGCTTTGTTGACGACTAGAAATTGGCTAGTTTTTGCATATATCTGGTTTCTTCAATAATATGGAATCAATTTGAGTTATGTTCTAATCATTTCGACAGAGCTTGGAGGATGGTTATTTGGTTTTTTTTTATGCTTCTAGTATCACTAAATGCATAACCACTTATACATTTTCATAACACATTAACACAAAATGCTTAACCACCTGCACTTTCTCAAATTTGTAATTATCTCCCCTGTTGAGGGCCTTGAGGCTAGGATGCTTTTCATACTTACTTTGTGTGTGCTTGACCTTATTAAGTTGCAAGCTTATGTGGTTAATATATGGTATACATTTTTTTTATAGCGTAGTAGTTCTACATCTCCTCTGGATTGCCTTTTCTCTCCATTGAAATCCATGTTTGTTATTCATATGATGCTTAACTGCTGTTGTAAATCCTTCTTGCTTTGTACATTATCTTGTTCTTATGCCTTCACCCATCATTTAGATTCACATTGCATTATGCTGTGTTTTGTCATGCAGTTTGATGGGTCAGATCCTGCGGCATGCTGGAATAAAGTTTACGATAGGATAAGAAAGATGCATTCAAGCAGTTCTGATAATTCACAGGCTGAAGGTGCATCTGTGAACTTCTTCAAATCAGGTGCTGATATGTTTGGTTTTTCTGATCCTCATGTCCTAAAACTTATACAGGTAACTCAACTAAATTTTGTTCATGATACCATGCAAGTATTGGTTAGAGATTATCATATCATACTCTCAGTTCTTTACAAGTGCTCCTCCCTCTTCTCATAAACACTCTAGATTCTTTGCTACCTTCACTATAAAATGGTGACTATTATCAAAGTATACGAGTTTCATATTCAACTGTAGTATTTGCTTCTACAACCATTTTGTATGTAATATTTGAAGTTTCTGCCTCTGTATCGCATGGTTTCCACTATTACCACAAATACTCTGCCATTTGTACACTCGTAGATCTTGCTTGCTGCATCCATGTCTTGAACTCCTGATAGTTGAAGAGTAGAATGCCATATCATTTGAAATTGTCTTTGATATGTATAGAGTGAAGTGAATGAACTTATATTTTACACAATTATTGACCGTTGGTAGGTAGTAAGATGAATCCATATGCATGGTGTAGGCATGCAACTATACTACAGGTTGTGTTAATATGAAAAATATGCGCCCGTTAAAAAATTTGTTCAGTTAAATAAATTTTTTGGTTTCAGCACTTATTATTTTATTTCATTATGTACCCTGTATGTTCAATTATGATATTGTTGTGGTTAATGAAACTATGAGAGGTGAACTTAGCTGGGAGTTTGCATAGGAACACCTGGGCTTTCAGGTTGTTCAAATGTCTGTAGTTAAACAGCCAAGTTCAAATGCTTTTTCATGTTTGACTGGATATAATATGCTGAATGATATCAGGGAGGCCTATGATGTTTCATTGACAAATTGGCTGTTTACAAGCTTCTTTCATCAATAATGCTTAATTGAAGCCTTGTGGTTAGTGAACAGTTGCGCCCAAGGTTAATGAGCTTCAGTTTGTTTTGAATTAAGAAAATTTTTGGATTCCTACAATGAAAGTTTCACTTGGAACATACTTTTCTTTCTTTCTCCTTTTTATGTATACCACATATATCATATATGGTTGATAAATTATCTCTCTTGTTTGGCTGAGATTTTGTGCCTCAAATCAGCTGAACCAGACCGTGCACACCCCTAATATCACCTCGCCTTTTGTTTTCCATTAGTTTCTTTAAGTTTCACCATGTTTTCCATGGAGCATTCAACATCAATTCTTACTTATAATATCTATTTTCTTAGATAAGTGAACTAGTGAAAAACTGTGTTTTTTTTTCTTAGTGGCTTTTAGCAGAAACCAAATACTCCATCTCGATCGTAGGGTCTTTAATGTAGACTGAAGTTAATTGATCATGTATAGACTTGGATATTTGTATCCAATCTACAATTGAACATTTAAATCTACTTCCAATCTATTTACATGTTCTAAAAAAAGAAATTGTAGCAGTTTGGAACTGTAAAGTGATCAAATTTATCATTTCAACCACCATCGCACCCTATCATAGCTTTAATCTGTTCATGGTATGACTATGTGACTGTTGTTGCAATAGTTAGTCTCACTTTAGTTGGATAAATACAGAATTTATCTGCTAGATAATATCTTCTCCTTTTTTTTTTGGTTTTCTAGCCTTGTATTATAGTTAATGTTATTTGTAGGGGACATCAGATTCGAAGCTGAAATCAGGACATGACATGCCAATTGGTTACAGACCTGTCCATGTTAAATGGAAGGACCTGGATAAATGCAATGTTTGTCACATGGACGAGGTGAAAGTTTTTCTTTTCCTTTGCTGAAATTACCAAATAATGCATGTTTCTTCTCTTTTTTGGTAAAAAATTAACCACATGATGCTTTGACTGGATGGTAACGTTTCTATTATCTGCCTCATCAAGAGTAAGCTTTGGTGATCTTATTGCAATTTGTATACAGAGACCGCTGTACCTGCATCAGTCCTTGTTTTGATTGTTTTTTTGCACTTCTAGTCCTGCCTGTGTGATCTTCTGCATATATTAACATCACCAATACACATAATTTCTTAACCAGATGATTATGTTTTCAGGAATATGCCAACAATTTGTTCTTGCAGTGTGATAAGTGCAGAATGATGGTAAGCAGTATCCTTGTTTTGTCATATCATAACCCAAAATCCGAATTGCAATGGAAGTCATCTAATATCAAGAATACGTGGCTGTACCGCTAAACATTATTTCTCTTGCTTGTTGATTATTTTTGTCTTGTTAGTTACAATTAGTTCCCTGAAAAATAACAATGCTGCTTTGTCTTTTGTCACTTATATGATATCTATTTCTTTGGCAGGTTCATGCAAGATGTTATGGGGAGCTGGAACCTGTTGATGGAGTCCTTTGGTTATGCAATTTATGTCGTACAGGGGCACCTGAATTTTCCCCACCCTGCTGTCTTTGTCCAGTTACAGGTACTTGTTTATATCACACTGAAGCAGGGTTTATATTTTCAGATCCTGAAATTAAAGTAACAGCTATTGTGTACATAAAAAAGAAGCATCTTATCCCAAACTAGTTGGGGTGGGTTAAATGAATCAAAATGACATCTAATGTCTGTAAAAACGATTAATAACTGATTAAATTATAATTCATCAGAAGAAATGTAATGTTCTGATAAACTTTTCAAGTTGGATTGTTGGTATCAAGCATGCTTACATGAAGAACATCATACTAGCGCTTGTCTTCTGTAATGCCTTGTGTTGACTTGTGCTTTCTGCTGTCCTGACAAGCTATTGGCAAATTATGGCTGCATTCATCTTTTCCTTCTTGAAGTGTTTGCAAATCTTCACATGCTGTGTCTAATCATGTTAAACCAGAATTATGAGCAAAGTTAAGACTTGTCATTATAGAGCATTAGTGGCTTGTGAACTTAAAACCCTTTTTTTTAGCAGGGTTATGTGTGTGATGGGAGAAAATATTGCATGTTAAGGGGCATACCCCAGGGTCAGTCAAAAGGCTCTATGACCTATCTAGAAGATCAATCTTATAGGCAATGCTCTATAAAACTAGGCCACATACAGGATAGACTGGATCACATAAACACTAAAATTTCTGTAGAACTTTCATTATTGGTAATTGAATGTATCAACTCACCGTGGTTCTAGGGGGTGCTATGAAGCCTACGACCGATGGACGCTGGGCTCATTTGGCATGTGCTATGTGGATACCAGGTTCTCTTACTGTTTCTGTATGCCGTATTTTCTGCATGGTAATTTCAGATATTTTAACACTTTTGCTCTTTCAGAAACTTGCTTATCTGATATAAAAAAAATGGAGCCAATTGATGGGCTGAATAGAATTAGTAAGGTAATTCCTTTTTTCTTTTTATAGAATTTACTTTCCTGCATCTACTCTTAGTTTGTCTGCCTAGTCCTCAAAAGAATAGATTCATAGCTCGTTAAAAGAAATTTCATATACGAGAAAGATGCATATAGTAAAGTCGGTTTGCAATGTTCAAAGAAAATCATGTTTTTTGTGTTCCGGCCTTAAATGATAATATATTTCCTGTCTATTTAGGACCGTTGGAAGCTTTTATGTAGCATCTGTGGTGTTCCATATGGAGCGTGTATCCAGGTAGCCACTTGTTATCATTGCTTATAGTGTGTGTAGCTGTGTATATTTTTGTGCTTTAATTTTATATAGTGGTGTTTTGGATTGTCTATTGTTGTTTATGCTGCAGTATCTGCCTCTTGGCAATTTAAATTCTGAATGTTATATGGATAAAGATTGTTGTCTTATCTAACTGTGTCTTTGGTAAATCATGCCTCTTTTTTCACATTCTTACTATTGAAAATATTTTTTTTCTTTCTAACATTTTCTTACATATGATTACCAACTGTTTATTTTGATTCATATGTATTGTTCTACTTATTCCTGTTACTATTGACCGTGTGGGCATATTCGCGATGATTTAAATGGGTTCACGTGATCAACAAATAATAAGATGGTGGGAGGCAAATGGTACTGTTTTAGACTGGTTATGTAGCTTTTCTTGTTAGTTAATTGCGAAGGAAACATTACCTCTATGACCTTCAGTATGCTTGAATTAGAAGTATCGTTTCTTTGATCTGTTTGGTGTATGTTACTGCTCTAACCCTGTGACCTACTTTGAACTGCTAATGCAGTGTTCAAACAACGCATGTTATGTTGCATATCATCCTCTTTGTGCTCGTGCTGCTGGATTTTGTGCCGAGGTATTGTTATGATCCCTTGACTTTTAAGGATACTTGCTCTTTTTTGTCATTTTAACGTTCAGTTATTTTTGTATCTTCAACTATGTACGACTATTGGATGAGGAGCGACAAAGAAGCCTATTTTTTGTTATTTTTACTGTTTTTACAACCCAGTTTTTGATTTATACTGTGTATTTTCTATTATTTGTTCACATAGCTTGCAGATGTGGACAGGCTTCAGCTGGTTCCTATAGATGAGGATGAGGAGAACCAGTGCATTCGTCTATTGTCCTTTTGTAAAAAGCATAGCCCTAATCCTTTGATTGAACGTATTGTTCCTGATGAACGGATGGGGAGAATACCAAGTCCGTCAGATTATACACGCCCGGTGAATCCTTCTGGCTGTGCTCGCTGTGGTGTGTCATTTATCTCTTTGTTTCACTGTCGTGATGATAGTTCAAGTGATTGCTTTTTAGTGACATTATTATTGTTCTTTCAGTGAATTGGATGGAGGTGCTATGTACAGTCCAGCGTTTCTGAGTTTGAGATTGATGTTTTTGTTTTTGGTTTGTCGTACTATTTGATAGCTAGAAAATTTTAAAATGGGTGAAAGGATTGATATATGTTGGCAGAACATGGCTAGGTGTGCCGTAAGGGAACTTATGTTAGCTAGCTGTTATTTTTCAGGGTTCCACTTACATAATTCTTTCTCATATATGGTTAGTCTATCTAGAATTCCCTGTGTTCAGTTTTAGGCCGCAACGTTTCTTCACTTGCTCTAATTAGCTATCTCTCTTCCTATCCTTTTCTACCAACCTCGGTTATTCCAAGATAAATCTTGATGGATGGGGAAGTCGTATCAGGAGGAAGCTAATAGAAGTTATCGTTGTTTCTTATATCTAGTTGGTACTTTTCCCATTTGGTCGCTTTTAAAAGTAGGTCGAAATACACAAAATGACCGTGGATGGTTGTAAGATTTGTGCTGAAGATGGTGGTCTGATGCTAGTGAAATGATTAAGTCATGATTATTTATATGTCTTCATTCTTATGTCAAGGACAATAGCATAAGATAGAACATGTATGTGTTTAATAATCCACTTAAAGGAAGATAAAATATCCATAAAATATCTATTAAGTTGGCATTTCTGGAGTTCACTTGTGTGCCTGAGAAGAGGGTTGCACTATAGTTAGGTTTTGGTGTTGTATTCAGCTGACCAAAACTAAAAGTGTAAAAGAACTCCAAAAGAAATTTTTGGTCTGTTTGTTGATCAGAAAATGTAGTGTTTATTTTTTCGTAAATATCTATTAAGTTGGCATTTCTGGAGTTCACTTGTGTGCCTGAGAAGAGGGTTGCACTATAGTTAGGTTTTGGTGTTGTATTCAGCTGACCAAAACTAAAAGTGTAAAAGAACTCCAAAAGAAATTTTTGGTCTGTTTGTTGATCAGAAAATGTAGTGTTTATTTTTTCGTTTATAACTTCTGTTCTTGTATGCTGTAGATTTCTATTATTTATTAAGATGCCCTAGCTTACAATTTCTCTAGCCATGGGAGCTCCGTGAACTAGGACAATTTTTATGTAATTGATTTGCAGCAGTCTCTTATGGCATTGTGACAAGAGTTTGGTTGAGTTGAGTGGCTCTGCTACTACGTATCTGATGCAAGTTTGCAAGTCATGTAGATGTGAGTTTGTGATCCTGAAGAAAGCTTACATAGGAATAATCATTAGATGGATATTTCTTCACTTCTAATTTATTTGATTTATTGGAAGTTCTATCATTTAGTCTGTTTGTCCTATGGTTCCCACAATTGGACATATTATTAGGTTTGATAACAGTGTCTATGCTTTGCACTCTCACTGGGTCATTGTTATGAACCTTTGGTATTTGTTGGAAGTTAACTTATCCGGCTTTCTTCCATTACCATCTTAATTGCTGATCTCATTGGTTAGGTCACGCCACTTGACTATGGGGGGTACGCCATTTAATTTCAAGTTGTGCTATTTTGTGTGGTGTAACTATAGTTTGATACTAATAGTTTGTTATTATATAATATGCATATTGACATCCTGATGTCTGCTTTGAAACTTGATTAGAGCCTTATGATTATTTTGGGAGAAGAGGAAGAAAAGAACCTGAAGCCCTTGCTGCTGCATCTTTGAAGCGAGCATATGTAGAGAACAGACCATATTTGGTGGGCGGTTTCTGCCAGCACGAGTCCTTAAGCAAAATGCCATCATTTGATAATGTTGGTGATTCCAAGCTCTCCTTTGGCTTTGGAAAACTTAAAAACTTGCCTCTTAATGGTCATACAAGCATATTTTCTATGTCTGAGAAGTATATTTACATGAGGAGAACATTCAGAAAGAGATTAGCATTTGGTAAACAACCATTTCCCAGATTCTTTTGCATTCTACAATACTATCTTGCTTTTTTTTGGGAGGGGGGTAGTGCTGTTATGATTAAATTTAAATGATTTTCAATTTTTCCAATTTTTTGAACTGCTTCTATGTTTAGTCCAGCAACTATTTTGGTTGTAGGAGAGAGGAATAAAAGGATTACATGTTTTAAATGTATGCTATGTAAATCATTATTTTTTTTGCTCTTCTGCTGGAGAGGCGATGATCTAAATGGTAAATCTTTTAATGATATGCTCTTTGCTCTCTGCCCACTCTTGGGCTGGATGTCACTTTCCCAGAATATTGTTCCATTTGTTTATATACCATGTAGATCAATGGATGTGGAAGTTAGTATGAGTAATATTACTAGTCTGACCATTCCAAGAATATCTATATCTATTTCTGAGATATATATTTTGCGACTGGTAGACCATGTCTGTCTCAATCCCCTCTTCCCATTAGCACGTTTTAGTGGTTATTCTTGACGGCAATGTGAAATATGACTTTTTACTTTATATTCAAATTTAATGAACTCTCTCTCTCTCATTCTTGCTTACGATAAGAGACAACATTTTTGTTCTTTTCTTTTCTTTCCCTTATTTTTTCTTGGGCTGTTATTTGGCTCAGGGAAATCTGGAATACATGGATTTGGCATCTTTGCCAAACAACCACATAAAGCTGGAGATATGGTAAAATCTTTTTCCTTTGGATGTACTTTTCCTTTCCTTTTCTTTTCGAATTCTCTTACTAATTTCTTTTAATGTAGATAACCCAATACTTATTACAGCTGATATAATCTATCACAGGTAATTGAATATACTGGTGAAATTGTTAGGCCTCCTATAGCTGACAGAAGAGAACACTTGATATACAACTCATTGGTGGTAAGTAGATTTATTATTTTGTTATCATAAGCGTTACTCTTTGAAACTTCAATTGGGATATGAGACCCACAGATAACCAAAAGCTTAGCACTCTATTTTACTAGAGGCTTTGTTATTGATCTATAGTGCTTTCAACATATTTTGCTTTCCGTTACTGATATATTTGATTACTTGAGAGATTAGTGAGTTCTATTTGCAAAATCCCAATTTTTCTTGATGGTTTATCATCAGTCTATTTGTTATTTGTTCTCTTAATTCTTCTTTAAGTAACTGGCATACTTTCATTGATTCTTGTCATCATTCTCAGGGTAATTGTCTCATGGCTTAACTGGAGTTGATATTATGATTGTTTTGGGGCCATGAAATTTCATGAAATCTTGATCTAGGCCTATACACATTAAAACATCAATCCTGACACATGAGCCTCATAATCTTTATGTTGTGGGTTCTTTCCAGTGACCTGTGCCATTTATGCAGCAAACTTCCAATATTACAATTATTTTTTAAATTAGAACCTTTTTGCTTATCACACATCTCATAGTTGGATAGAATCTGCTGCTCTCTGTGTTCTGCATCACCACAACCTGTTAATTTATCTACATAAATATAAATACTGGGGAAAACAGCACATATCTGTATATATATATATATATATTATCAAGTCGTTTAGGCACTGCCTTGTGTTATGTCTGAACAATTGAAAAACAGAAAACCTGAACATCTGCAGATTTAGAGTAAACAAATATAAATGTGAACGTGATTTAAGCTCTGCAGCAGCTAACCTCTGTAAATTTAGTCTTGGTATGGAAATTCAATTCCATGATTGGAATTCTATTAATTACAATATCATTAACACTACATGCCTAAATAAACTCATAGCGAGATTGGACATATAAATGTACATACAACATAAAATCCAAATAACATGCAAAAGACACTAAACAAATGAGGAAAAGCAGATACTTGGTTGGGCATTAAAAAAATAAAGTAAAATGAGGAATAATATCCGACTATTACTTATGGCGCAAAAATTCTAAAAAACCGACGGCCTTTTTTTTACAGTCTGGCATTAGAGATCTGTTTTGGGTTTTCCTTTGGATTTTCGATGTATTTTTCAATCTATGGCCAGGGAGGAGTCTAAAGGGAAACTGTTTTCTTATGGAAAGAATGACCAAGCATTCTGGAACTCTTATTGCAAGGGTAAAATGATCTAATTCAGTATTTTTGCCACTATAATATTAAAGGTCATTGGATAGGTCCGTAGGTTGCTGATTATGGGGTTTGGGAACAAATCATGCTTGAAAGAAGGCACTATAGGAATCATTGATTAGGCATTATCCTTCGTCCTAGCATGATAAGCATTCTGGAGAGGATTAGGCACCACATGTTTCGTCCCTGTCAGTGTAGGGAAACCCCCAACGGAGTCCCAGCCCATCACCGATATTTGAGAGTTTATAGGTCTCATGAACGTTTGTTTTGCTCAAGTGGTTAATGGTATGTGGGAATTTGATTAATATTCCCATGCTACCTGTTAGAGATTATTGTGGCACTTTAATGTATTAGGAAAGTACTATTTCTTGTGGATTTTATCATTCTTATTTATAATGTCAGTGGTTTTGGCAATTGTCACGAATCCTGTCTTCCTCTCTCTATGCGTTTCTTCTCATGTATGATATTAGTTACCCTCTATGGAAATCAATAGTCGAATATAAACATTTATTAAACTATTAGCTGCTAACATATTTTGAAACAATTACCCAGTGAATTATCAAGAATATGATAATTCTCCTTTACTGACTGCTTTACCGACTGTCCTATCATTGCACAATTACTTTTGCTTTTTTAAGGAGGTTATGAAATTTATACAGAAGTGAATATTGTTCGGCATATATCTGTTTGCAGGGGGCAGGGACGTACATGTTTCGGATTGACGATGAGCGTGTAATTGATGCCACAAGAGCAGGAAGCATTGCACATTTAATTAATCACTCTTGCGAAGTATGTTAAGCTCATTGTTTTATTATATATCTTTTCATCCTTGATGTTCCTTCTATTTGCATACTAGTAGGTAGGTGATCAAAGTATAAGCAGGGGCTGGTTTATTTTTTTAGGCATAACTAACATTTATCTAATAGTTGATTAAGAAATTGATGAAGTTAGATCATATTTCATGCCCGAATGGTTAATTGGTTATGGTTTAAATATGTTTATCCTTCGAAACAGATGGTTTGTTTTGACATGGAAGCTTATTTATTTCATTGAATACAATGTTTTGGGGGAATGTAGAGAAACCAGTTGAAGTGAAGAATTCTCTAATATTATCTAATGATGTTCAGCTACAAAACATCTGGCAATCCAAGTTCTGGAAATCTTAACTTGTATACACTGATTTACTTGAAAAACAACTATATAATCTTAGATTCTAGATGAGCTAGAAAGATATGTACTTTCAGCCACATCTTACCGAATGGATGTCTTTTAATTCTATATGACAGCCGCATTATTAGTTTCTTTACACTCTTTTGTGTTGATTCACCAAGCTTTTGATGTGACGGCTTAATAGCATTAGTGAAAAGTGTGTTCAGTACTTCAACTAAATACTTATCCATATATATATAGGGTCAGGTTCAGGAGAAACCTAAAAAAATAAAAAACTGAGGAACACCCGGGTAACCGTTCATCTAGACAATATTCACATGTGCATACAAGTAATTTGTAAGCAATTTGTCCGGTATGCACATGTGCATAAAAACCAAGAAACAACTTCAATTACTTGTATGCACATGTGCATATTGTTTAGAGGAATGGTTACCAGGGTGTTCCTCAATTTTTCATTTTTTTGAGGGTTTTCCCGTGAACCTCAATCTATATATATATATAGAATCGGGTTCAAACGAGAACGGTACCTATTTAAGAGAATAAGAAAATGGTCGATTCACATGTGATTTTACACTAACATCACTGTGATTTACACTAACATCACGTACAAAATCACATGTGGTTCACGCGACTTTACCCCACGATCTGAAGACGCGGGCACAGTCGCCCCCACACCTTTTTTGACTGTTAATATAAAATCACATGTGATTTTGCACTTGATTTGGCCGGTTTCATATTCTCTTAAATAGTTAGCATTCTTGTTTGATCCCCCCCTCTTCTCTCTCTCTCTATATATATATATACACACACACACACACACTATGCTACTTATTATCCTTGGTTTTGATTAATCCTCACTGTTTCAGCCAAACTGTTACTCAAGAGTTATAAGTGTCAATGGTGATGAACACATAATCATTTTTGCTAAAAGGGATATTGCACAGTGGGAAGAACTGACATATGATTACAGGTTTTTTTCTATCTGGTTCTCTGCACTTCGTATCCATTATCTGTTTCTGCGTAATCACATTTTGTTATTTGCTATTGCAGATTCTTTTCGATTGATGAACAACTTGCTTGTTATTGTGGTTTTCCAAGTTGCCGGGGTGTAGTTAATGACATTGATGCTGAGGTACAAATGGCCAAGCTATATGCACCCCGCAGTGAATTAAAAGACTGGGAAGGAGAATGAATTGAGGTTAGAGAATCCAACCATTTTTGCTCATTATTTCTTTATTTGGAGATCCAGTACTGTCTAAAGTTCTTTTAATTTGACAATTCTGTACAAAATAGAAGTATGACATTATTAGTTGAAAGTTGATATACTAGTTCAAGAAATCGTAGGATGTTCATGCCAAGTATGGTAGTAGTTGGAGGATGTGAACTTAAAGAATGCTAATGGTTATGTCGATGTCACTAGATTGTCATGTATATGAGTATATCATAGGCAAGGGAATTTTGCACTTCTTTTCACAAAGTGCATTATGAGCTAATTTCTATTAAGCTTTACAATGTCATTTGATGGTTGTGTTTCATTTGAACCTTTGCATGGGTGCAGCCCTAGCAGCAATTGAAGTAGGTTTTTCTGGTTTAAAATCTTAGTTTTGTTGCTATCTGAAGTCTTTTCTAACATTATCTTTGACTTCAAAGTTTAGGTGGATCATAAGTTGATCATTGCTACATACTAGGAACTATGGTGGAAGTTGAAATAGTTTGTTGTGCTGTTATTTTACTGATCTGTTACTGTGTTACCGAAGTTCAGTAACTAGTAAGTTAGGGCCGTTTACCAAACACTTACCCGGTAAGCACTTACCAGTAGAATTCAAGACTATCATTTTCTCAGCGGATAAGATTTTTGTCAACAAAAACGACATTATATGCAACAATTTACCCGGTAAGTGCCAACTATGGTAAGAGTTTTTGCCCTCACTTACCGGGTAAGCTTCTCGGTCCTTGCCTTGCTCTTACCGGGTAAAATTCTTGGTTCTTGCAATATTCATCCAGCAAGGTAATGTAACTTGGTAAGCAGGGTAAGCAATTGGTAAACGGCCTTCATAGGCAAAAAAATGCGAGCAGGGCATATCATGGGCTCAACTTACAGCAAGTAAAACAACTCATAAACTCCATTAGTAATTTGGTAGGTTTTCTCCTTTGTTACTTCTAACACCAAAGATTGGGGTACTTTTTAGTTAACATTTATGTGCTTGGATGCTTCTTCGGCAAATATCATATAGAAGAAAAAGATGGTTGATCTTCCTTTCCAAAATAAGGTTATTTGTGTGTGGTTATCATGGGAAATCATATTTTCTTTTCTCATTACTATTATTGTTTACATCCTTGTTGCCTGCTTGTACATAATCTTTTTCTAATAAATATTTTCCAGTATCTCATGCTCTCTAATGCCCTTTCATCTTATCAACTTCAAAATAAAACAACATTTTGACAAATTCTTCGTTTCTCTCGTCTCCCCAAAACATTTTCGCAAGCTGGGGGTCTTCACTGAAACAACCTGTATACCATTTGGGATAGGGGAAAGGTTTTGCATACATTCTACCCCCTCATGACCCTACTTTAGAATGGGATATATGTTTGTTTGGTTGTGTTTTTATATATTTGTTTCTTACACTTGGAAGGAAATAAGGTTATGCAAAAGATGGAACATTTGCTAGTTTTGTTTGTTGATAATGGTTGTGGCTATATTCTGTGTAGTGGTTTGGCATCAGTAGTTGGTGTAGTGATGTTGTTCATGGTTGTATAGATAGTTTTGAACTAGTTTATTTTAGTTGGTTTCAGAGAGACATCAAATAGTGTTGGTGCTGATGGGGGTGAAGCAGTGGTTAGTGGGATTTTTCTTGTGGGTATAAAACATAGTAGGCTTAACAGGAGTGCTGACTGGTGAGGGTTATTTATATTGCCCTAACACCATAACTAAAAGACATGAAAATCACCTTCTTCCTGATATAACTTGTCTTCATCTTTGTCTGTCCAACATTTATTAACATTCTTATATTTCATGTTTATTGATCAGGACTTTTTGTTTTATGTCGTCTTCATTTTATGGCCTTAGATACAGGTAAACTATTCTTTCTATGTATGCATGCCTTTGCCATTTCTTCTGCTATGCATCACCATATAATTATGACTTTGGCCATGTTTGACAACCATAAGCTGGCTTATTTTTTAGCTTACTTAAAAAGCCTCCTTTTCGTTAGCAATAACCTAGCTTTTTCATAAGCTACTTCAAGTAGTGATTCAATAATCTCCGGGCTTTTTTTTCTCAGTTTTCCAATTATGCTTCATATATTTTTCTGATCATTTTTTCGACATGGCCTTTTAGGTTATTTTAAATTGTCATCCAACTTATCAGCTAGTTTATACCAAACTTGACTATTTTATCAGTCAACAGCCAACTTATCAGCTAGTTTTGCCAAACATAGCCTTTGTCTCCCTCCCTCAGCACACATTGACATCCACAACACTGCTTATTCAATCAAGGTTTATGTTTTCTTAATTACTAATTGTTCAATATCTTTCTCTCCCTCCTTTCCCATCTCCCCCTCCCCCTGTTTTTGACTGCTTCAAAGCAAGCTGTAAGTCTGCATTCTCTGTCCACCAATCAACTCCTGATACATCATCAATTTTTTTTTCAAAAGAGAGAATAAGAAGGTGGATTGAATAAAGTAATGATTGGTGGTGGGCCAGGGAGGGGATAATGCAAACAGTAAGTTTGAGGGTTAAAACTGATGAAGCTCTGCACATCTTTTGCAGTCATGGGGTAGTGATACATTCTGAGATCCAGTCTGCCTCATGCTTCTTCTCCTGTTGTATTATTTGATCGGCCATCTCCTCCAGCCAAGCCAGCCAAACAAAACGTGGTTCGGCTTTTCTTTTTCTTCTTGCTGGAAATATTGTCCATGCAGGTCCTGTATGATTTATAATTTAATTGTTTTTATATTATATGGTCATTGTGAATCTGATCAAACATGCTTATATCGCCTGAGAATACTAGAAATGGAGGGATGTACATAAGATTTTCGACTTGCAGAGTTGGGTTATTTCTTTTTTGTAGGATGAATCATTATTTTTCAATGGCTAGTAAAGAAACATTGGTAGCTTAAATGTAGTTGTTGTTTGGTTTATTCTGACTGCTTTCTTACATCAACTGGTTGACCCTGTCATACAAGTATCTAGCAACTGTTGGTGTTAACAGCAGCCAGTGACACCTGAGAGGACTTGAACTGGTGACTTCTGGGAGCTACCCTCAAGGTTTTCTAATTCTAGTATATGATCACTGTTTCGTATTCTTAGGGCCTTTCTCATCTGTTTACGAAACTGGTTCTACAAATGCAGTTTCTGCTCGATGTTTGTAAATCTTTTGCTCAATCTTGTCTATAAGTGACGTTAATGTTACCAAAGGCTTGGAGCTATGCTTGATCGGGGGTCTTGTATCGTCATGACGTATACTTGATAAGAACGGGTGGTTTCTGAAGCAAAAATGATCTCCATTACAGTTCAGAATCAAGTTACATGCAAATGAAGTTGCAAGCATGTGTCATGAAATGTGCCTCTGAGGATCTTTCTTGTGCACACAACTCAAAATATAGATACGTTGTTCTATCGTGTAGTTGACAGGTTTATGGCTTTTATCAAGGGGAAAAGTAAAAAAAAACTCGACAAAACCATCTCATTTTTAATAATTAAGTTTTTGAACTAGTTTTTAAATAACAAATTTATTAAGCTTTCTTGTTTTGAATGATCAAGTTTTTTTAACTATTTTTTTAATAATTAACTTTCTTATTTTAGATGGTTAAGAACTTGGACATTTTTTTCAATAAACTAAACCATTGAATATTTAGAAATTGGTTAGGTACATTATTTTAATCCAAAAAAGCTACTTGTAATTGGTTATCTTTTGATTTTTTTTTCTCTTTTTATAGACAAAAAAAAAATCAAAAGAGGGAGATTAATGGTACGGATCAAAAGAATGTTAAGCGATGTAAAGAATGAACACTATTTGGGGAAGGGGGTTGTGAGGGAGAGCAATACTGTTATTTGCAAGGGGTTTTAGTGACGTAGGGTCTGCCACGGTAAAACTGATTTAGGTTTATTTTTTCTTCAAAACATTCCTAGTCAGTTACAAGTAAATTTTTTTCTAATTAAAAAATATAAGTAACCAATTTTTAGAAGTTTGAATGGTTTATTTATTAAAAAAAATGTTTAAGAACTTGTTCATTCAAAATGAAAGAGTTTAATGATTTTCATTCAAAATCTAGTTTAGGGATTTAATCATTTAAAATAAGAAAATTTAATATTTTTTCATTTAAAAAATAATTTAGAGACTTAAACATTTAAAAATGGATAGTTTATCGGACTTTTATGAACTTTTCCCTTTATTAAAACAACATAAAAGGTGAGTAATTAAATTACACTTAAAGCACTATCACTAATTACTACCTTAATCATAAATATTTATGCTAGTGGAATCATAATTCAAAGGAGTTAAGGTCAACATACTACAATAAAATTGGGTTCATAGGATGTCAAATTTTTTTAAGTATTTTCATAAACCATTTTATAAGATTTAATTTATAAAACTAAAAAAATGAAGTGTTCTATTTAAAGATATAAGACCATAAGACGTTTTTGGGGTACGTAACAAGGTTTTTTAGAATATTTTTATAAAAAAAATAAAAAAAATGTCGTATTAGCTATTTTGTAGAAAACAATTTAAAAAATGTCGTAAAACAAGTGTCTTATGAAAAGATGAGTTTATAGGACGCTTTTGAAAAGTTTCTTATAAAATAACTAATGACGTTATATGTATTAAAAATGTCTAAAAAAACTTGTTAAGGCGTCTAAAAACGTCATATAAACTTATTACAACGCTTTTAATATTTTACTATTTGATCATATAAATTAACTTTTGTTAGACCGTAAGCTTAGTAATTATTTTTAACGTCATATAAATCTAATTATGTTGTAGTGATATAATATTGATTTTGATCTTTCCAAGTATAACTCAAAACAAGATTTTGCTTTATAGGTGACATTAGAAAGTGTCTTTCATCCATGCATCTCTCACTTGATCTTATATCCAAGAGTTGGTGTTTGTTTTTCATCCAATGGCATCTTTAAACCTAATATATGATGGGTTTAATGTATCTATTTTCTGTCTTTATAAAAAATAATGAATGGAGTTAAAGCTAGTAGCATGAACGATAATTGCAATCTGCAGTACTACAAGATTCGTCTGAACATATATTACTTGATACCGAAAAGAAACTTACAAAATCTTAAGCATCACAACTCCCATAAGATGCCTACTACTGTACATACATACTCCAAACTAGAAACAAAAAGAAGTCAACCAAAGACTCCATGCATAAAGTCCAGTAGTCCACTGTCATTGCAACTATATATATATATATATATATATATATATATTAGTCAGCAACATAACAGCCAAAAAAGGTTTTCTTGCGGCTTAAGGAGTTCGGGGCTTCTTTGGGTCAGCGCCATGATGGTGGAGAGGGTCCGGACCCAAAGGAGCTGCCCTTAGTTCCCAACCCTCTTCTTTACTCTCCCATTTGTTGCCTTGAATCTTGAAAACGCCCTCCTTTGCTTCCAAACCATTCACTATCAATAACTACACGCACAAATATACATGTAACCCACACCACAATAAAATATACATGTATGTATATATATATATATATATGTCTGTATGTATACCTTTCTGTTACGGATTTCTTTGAAGGAGGCCACTGTAGAGAGGGTCTTTTCTGCACCATTGAGGCCATCTGCATGCAAAGATAACACCCTTTAGTTTAAAGAATTTTCAGAGTTCAAAAATGGCGAGAGAGAGAGAGAGAGAGAGAGAGACAGAGACCAGAGAGCTGTAGCAGAAGAAGCAAGCAAAGCAACAAAAGGAAAGATAGAGAAGGTAATTTGAGTTGAAATGCTGCCATGGGTGTGTAAACTACAAGTATAGAAGAAAATAGCGATTGTTTTGTTTGCTTTGAGGAAGAAAGAGTGACAAGTGAGGTGAAGTGAGGTGGAGAGGGGATATTGCATATTTATAAGGACTACGACTACGACTACGCCTACACTCTCAGGCTTAGCTACAGTTGAAATCATTGCATCAGCAGCCACCTTGGAAATCAATTATTTATTTTGTAATTTAGTACCAATTTCTTTAATTTAGCTTATTTTAATAGAATATTACATTGCTTTCATTTTTATTTTAAACATTTGAATAACTCATTTTTGTATAAGAATACATGTAAATAACTAATTGTTTTTATATTTAAAGG